GGGACATTACTTATGGAAGAAGGAACAGAGACATGGCAAACCCCATCTTGAACATAAGAGCACTTCATTGGCCAAAAGTAGTCATGTGACCATGACTGCCATTACTGGAGAAGGGAAGTACCATCTCCTGCAGGAGGAGCATTACAGGGAAGGACAGTGATGTGTTTGGCCACCAGCAGCATGACCTATTGCAGAATGCATCCTTGAAAGCAGCTGGAAAAAAAAAGTTCAGGGATAGGTCTTTGGGACCATCTATGTGGAAATATTTTCTCTATATGTTAAGTCATCATAAAACCATAAAAAGTTTAATCAATCAAATATGAGCTCTGACTGATAATCTGTAGTTCACTTATTTCTCAGATGGGCTAAATCTATGCAGTATGTTCCAGACCAGCCGCGAGAGAGAAACACTGACTTAATGATGATTAAAGATTCTCCAGACAATTCTGGGGAGGCCAGCTAGCCTGGTATGTGAGAAGTGAAATCCCAGATCTGCGGATTTCATGGGCTTTCTGTGGGGCTTGGGCATGATGTCATGTGTGATAAGACTGTGGGATATGATGGTGTCATTGTCAACAGGAACTCCTCAGGAGCAGGGAATAGAGTTTACTCATATTTGAATCCCCACCACCTAACCCAAGTAGCACATAGTAGAATCTAAATAAATACTGATAGAATGAGTGATTAAGTGAGGATACACACAAGGAAATTTAGTTAAGGTAAGAAAAAAAATGTCCACATCCATATTAGAAAATGATGGTTAAACTCTTTCTATGAAGTCAGCATAACTTGACCTGACAAAGATGATCAAGGCAGAAAAATTACAAACCAATACTTCTTATAAAAATAAATCTAATAGCCTTAAACAAAGAGTTTTACTTATGGCAGTGGAGTAGCTTGTATTGGAACAACCCTCCTGAGTCAACAATTATACACTCTGAAGAAAACATGTAAAAAAGACACCAGTTGGAGTCACCTAAAAGCAGACAGAAACTGGAGGAGAGGATTCATACTTAGAAGAAAGGTATGGCACAAGGTGAGCTATCGTTTGTTTTTTTTTTAAGTTTTTTATTACCTGAAGAAAAGAAGAGTAATAGAGAAAAAAACCCAATGAGGGTAAAATGAAATTTAAAGTTTTTCTTGTTCTTAAGTGATATAGAAGGTAACCATTTGTTTAAGTAGTAATAATAATGATGCATTGGGTGGATTTAGCTCTGGAGAAGAGAAACAAAACACAGCAGTGTCAGGAGGGGTGGGAGACAAAAATCAGGAACCTCCTGTTATAAGAGACCCATACACACACAGATGTAAAGTGGTATAATGTTATTTAAAGATATACTCAGATTAATTTTTTAAAAAGATTTTATTTATTTGTTTGACAGAGAGAATGAGAGAGAGAGAGAGCGAGAGCGCGAGCATGAGCAGGGGGAGTGGCAGGTAGAGGGCAAAGGAGAAGCAGGCTCCCCACCAAGCAGGGAGCCAGATGTGGGACTCAATCCCAGGACCGTGGGATCATGACCTGAGCCGAAGACAGACGCTTAACCGACTGAGCTGCCCAGATGCCCTACTCAGATAAATTTAAAAATGTATGTTGCAGGGGCGCCTTCTGCTCTGCGCCTTCTGCTCTGCCTTCTGCTCTGGTCATGATCCCAGGGTCCTGGGATCGAACCCCGCATCGGGGCTCTCTGCTCAGCAGGGAGCCTGCTTCCCTTCCTCTCTCTCTGCCTGCCTCTCTGCCTACTTGTGATCTCTGTCTGCCAAATAAATAAATAAAATCTTAAAAAAAATGTATATTGCAAACTCTAGGGCAATCATTATAAAAATGTTATAAAGAAGTGTATTTGATATGTTAAGAGAAGAGATAAAATGAAGTCATATGAAATGTTTATTTACAACCAGAAAAGCCAGACAGAGGGAGGGGGAAAAAATGAAACAAAAAACAAATGTAATAACAGAAAAGAGTTACAAATATGGCAGATATATTCATCTGACTATATCAATAATTGCTTTAAATGTGAAAGGTCTAAATATATTAGTTAAAGGATTGTTTGGCTGAATAAAAAAAAGACTGAAGCATGTTACCTACAAGAAACCCACTTTAAATATAAAGACTCAGATATATTAAGCACAAACAGGTGGGAAAAACATACCATGCTAATGTTAAATGAAAGCAAGCTGGAATGACTATATTAATTTCAGACAAAGCACACTTCAGAATATAGAAAACTATCAAGGATAAAAAGGGTCATTACATAACAATAAAGGGATCAATTCTCCAAGACATAACAATTGAAGTGTGTAGGCATCTAACAACAGAACATCAAAATATGTAAGTCAAAAGCTGACATAATTCAAAGAGAAATAGACAAAATCCACTATTACCATTGGAGACTTCAACACACCTTTTTCAGGAATTGATAAATCAGGCAGACAGAAAATCAGTAAGGATGTAGTTGACCTGAATGACATTATCAATCAACTTGATCTTATTGACATTTCTAAAATACTCCATCCCAAACCAGCAGAATTTACATTCTTCTCAAGCTTACATGGACCATTTGTGACAATAGATCCTGGGCCACAAAACACACCTTAACAAATGTAAGGGAATAGAAATCATATCAAGTGTGTGCTCAAATCACAATGAAATTGAATTAAAAATCAATAATGGAAAGATAGTTAGAAAAGTTTCCAAATATCTATAGCTTAAATAATACACTTCTGAATAACACATGGGTCAATGATGGAGCCTCAAGGGAAATATTTTTAACCAAATGAAAATAAGAATACAACTTATCAAAATGTGTGGGCTGCAGAGGAAGCAGTGCCTACAGAGACATTTATAGCCTTGAATGTATATATTAGAAAAAAAGATTTAAAATCAATAATCTAAGCTTCTACAGTAGGACACTAGAGAAAGAAGACCAATTTAATCCTAGATCAAGCAGAAGAAAAGAAATAAAAATTAAAGCATAAAATAAACAAAATTGAAAACAGGAAATCAATCTAGAAAATCAATGAAATCAAAAGCTAGTGTTTTGAAAAAAATCAATAAACTTGATAAATCTCTAGGGAGACTAACCAGGATAAAACCTCAGTATTAGAAATAAATGAGGACTCATCTACTGATCCCATGGACACTAAAATTTAATAAAGGAGTACTATGAGTATCTCTATGCTCACAGATTTAATAACTTAGAATAAATGAACTAATTCCTTGAAAGTCAGCAACACCAAAACTCACACAGGAGAAACAGATAATCTGAATAGGTCTGCTATTAAGGAAACACAATAAAAAACTAATAACCTTCAAAAAGAACAGCACACAGGGTCCCTGGGTGGCTCAGTTGGTTAAGCATCTGTCTTCAGCTCAGGTCATGATCCCGGAGTCCTGGGATTGAGTCTGGCATTGGATTTTTGGCTTTGCAGGGAGGCTGCTTCTCCCTTTGCTTCTCCCTCTGCCTCTCTCTCTCTCTGTCATTCTCTGTCTCTCATGAATAAATAAAATCTTGAAGAAGAAGGAGGAAGAGGAGGAGGAGAGGAGGAGGAGGAGGAGGAAGAAGAAAAGACATCAGGGCCACATAATTTTACTGGTGAATTCTACCAAACATTTAAGGATGAAATTATACCAATTTTTCCACCATCTCTCCCAGAAAAGACTGATTCATTAATTTAAACAAATATATACTACCAATGAAAGGGCAACTTGGATGTGGGAGATTTTGATAGTGCCTCCCCAAACATAAATCACTTAGATATTTATCTAACAAAATATGTCCAAGACCTTATACACTGAAAATTAAAAATTGATAAGGAAAATTAAAGACTACATAAATGGAAAGCTGTACCACAATTAAGAGTTGGAAGACTTGATATCATTAAGATAGCCGTTCTCCCCAAAATGACCTATACACTGATTTCTCACAATCTCAATCAAAATTCAAGTGGACTTTTAAAAAACACAAATTGGTAAGCTGATTCTAGAATTTATTTGAAAATACAAAAGACCTAGAAAATCCAATTTTTTATTATATTCAGTTAGCCAACATATAGCGCATCATATAGTTTTTGTTGATGTAGTGTTCAATGATTCCTTAGTATATAACACCCAGTGCTCATCACTACGGGTGCCCTCCTTTAATACCCACAAAAAATCCAATTTTTTAAAATTTAAAACAAAATTTTTATTTATTTATTTGACAGAGAGAGAGAGAGATCACAAGGAGGCAGAAAGACAGGCAGAGAGAGGAGGAAGCAGGCTCTCTGCTGAGCAGAGAGCTCGATCCCAGGACCCTGAGATCATGACCTGAGCCTAAGGCAGAGGCTTTAACCCACTGAGCCACCCAGGCGCCCCCAAATTCCAATTTTTTTAAAGACCAAAATTGGAGGACTCTCCAATTTTATTTTATTTTTAAAAGATGCATTTATTTATTTGAGAGAGAGAGAGAGAGCGCACACTTGCATGTGCGCATGTGTATGGGGGAGGGCAGAGGCAAGGGAATCTTAAGCTGACATGTGCAGCCAGATCCAGGGTTCTATGAGCAGCATGATGGGGGGGCTGGATCTCACGACCCTGAGATCAGAACCTGAGCTGAAACCAAGACTCAGACGCCTAACCAACGGTGCCACCCAGGTGCCCCTACACTCTCCAATTTAAAAATTAACTATAAAATCATAGTGATAAAGATGGTACCATTTCAGTGAAAAGACAGACATGGAAACCAATGGAAAAAAAAAAAAACAGAATTCAGAAAGAGCACCACATGTATATGACCATTCTGGATATTCTGCAAAGGAGCCAAGGCAGTTCCTCAGGGGAAAGAAAAGACCTTTCAGCAGTGTTCAGTCAAATGACTATCTCTATGGGGAAAAGTGGCATTCCCCCTTGTATCACACAATACAGAATAATTGACAGGACAGGGATCATAGACCTAAATATATGACTTAACAATGTGAGAGTTCTAGAAGAAAACAGAGGAGAAAATATTTTCAACCTTGGGAGTAGGCAAAGATTTCTTAGAACCAAGAAAGCATATTTTGTAAGAGAAAAAAAAATAATTTGAAGAACTGGACTTTCTCAAAGTTATAAACTTTTGCTCTTTGAAGGGCACATTAAGAATATAACAAGGTAAGCCACAGGCTGGGAGAACTTTCTTTGTGCAAGATTATTCCCTATATCCATAGAAAGTTGTGGTGGGGTGGAGAAGATCTAAGAAGGCAGGGCAGACTAAAAACATAAGAATGTGGCGAAAAGAACTCTCAAAAGTATACAGAGACCAAATATGAAAGGCACAAACGCAGATGTGTTGGCCAAATCCCAGAATAGGCAATGAGGGAAGTCTACTGAAGCAGACACCTAGAGCCAATCATAAGAGCTGCTACTTCCTATAGGGAGGAGGAAATTTCTCGTTTGATACTCTGAGTGGTGGTGGCACTTAAGTCAAGAAAGCTTATATCTATAATATATTAAGGAAATCTGCGAATGCTTGAGTGAACCCTCGCCATTCTAAGGTTGATAGCAATCATGTCTGGTCATCTGTGTGCTGGCGCCTTCTACCTCCTCTCAGCCTTTTACCCTCCCTTTCCCTTCCCACGTGCCTGACCTGTGGTCTAAGCAGAGGTAGCGGAAAGGTTGGCGACGGAATGTTGCTAGCAGGGTCTGAGTTTGATCTGTGTGCCCATCCTTCTACCATGTGACTAGCTCCAGACCACATTCTCTTTGCCAGTGACTAGCCAATGGGCACAGGGACTTTTCCTGACCAGTTCTGGGGGAAAGTGCCTGAATATCATCTCACATCTCTTCCTAGACAGAACAGCTTTGCTATCACTTCATTAACAATTAAGACTTCAAACTGTAGTTGACTCTCGAACAACATGGCGGTCAGGGACATCAACGCCCCCCTCCCACCAGTGGAAAATCTGTGTATAACTTTGACTCCCCAGAGAGCTTAACTACCAATACTCTGGTATGGGTTGGAAGCCTTACCAATAACATAAACAATTGGTCAATATATATTTTTTGTATGTTATATAGATTATATACTGCATTCTTTCAATAAAGTAAGCTAGAGGAAAAAAGTGTTATTAAGAAAATCATCAGAGGAAACACATTTATAGGACCATACTCTATTTCCTGAAAAATATCCACATATAAGTGGACACAGTTCAAATCTGTGTCATTCAAGGATCAAGTGTAACGCTAACTCTTAGTTGGCTTGGAAAAGTCCAGCTAAGAGCCATGTTCCATCCTCAAGCTGCTGCCATCAGGTGGCAACCAGCAGGGGGGCTTCCGTGATTTTGATGGAGTAGGGCAGACTACATGCTCTGCCTTCTGAACACATTGAAAGACAACAGATCAAACTTCTGAACACTTCAGTGAATCCTGTGTCAAGGGACATTTATCTCCCCTGACCGTCTTGCATACCTTTTATGGAATAAGATAAACTCCATTACTGTCTTCTTCCACACACTATTGAGGTTTTCAGTTAGGATTACCTAGTCCCCTACCATTTGTAATTGTTCTGCCCTTACTTCAATATTTTTCTTTTTATCATCATGTCTGAGCTGGAACCGTGCTGTCATTGAGACAGTGATGCGGAGGGCTGTTTGGGGATGGAGCTATGTGAGGAGGAATTAGGGTCACTGTAACTGACCAAGTGGGGTGCAGAACAGGAAATGGGATGGCATGAGGGTGACCATAGCCTGTCTTGAATCTGGGTGTCACGGCAGACTGTCCCCAGATCCTGCCTCTCTAATAGATGCTCTGTTCATGTAACCCAGGAGATGGGGGCGAGGTGGTAGTAAGGGTCTTTAAGGATAAGGGATCGATTTAGAATCAGACCAAAGGATCAGGGGCACTTCCTCCGAAATAATGAGCATTCAGGTCCGAGTAGAAATGTCCCCAAGACCCCATAGCAGAAATGGTAGCACGTCCTTTTGTTTAGGGATCAGTATAATGTGCTGGGTTTGGGACTCATCAACCTTTTTAACCGCTGCTAAATAATCGGTTAATATGGAAATGTGCATACCTGCCCTCCCAGAAAAGCCATCTGTGTACTTCCCTGGTGGCTCTGGGTGGGTCTGATGGGGGTGTGTGTGGAGAGCCCTCCAGGCCTGTCTGACCCCAGGAGAGCAACTGGGCTCCCCAGGGCCTCTGGGGAAGGCCCCTCTCTGGCTTCCAGACAGGAGAGAGGACTGCTCCTTCGAATTGCCAATTCAGGCACAGATGGAAAAGGCAAGCACAAAAATGTAAAGTCCATGCTCTGAAATTATATGCAAGCAGAAAACGCGGCAGCTGGGCAGATGTTCTGACAGCCAGAGACTCAATAGTGGCCACTTGGAGAGAGAAAAAAAAAACAAAAACGAGGAAAGCTACAGAAATTATTACCCTTTTTCATGTAGTCAGCAACTCTTCTCAATCTCCTGTTGCCTCTGGAACCTCATCTGACCCTGACATCTGGACGTGGCATTGATCTGGAAGCCAGCAGATGAGGCTTCACCAAGAGCAGGCTGTGGGGCTCGGACTGGGTTCCCATCTGTAAAGTCTGGGTCACGAGGACACCGCCTTACAAGGCTTATGCAATGACAGATGGCTATCCAGCCAGCAAATTCATGTTCAAGGCCCACTATGTTCCAGCCGGGGCATCTGAAGAAGATCAAGACAGGATTCCTGCCCTCAAGAAATGCAGGCTCTGGAGAAAGCACCTTCCCATTCTTAGTCATTAGCACCTTTTCTCTCTCCACCTCCTTTAGGATCCTCCTTTGTCTTAAGGGTCACTACCTCCAGGAAGCCTTCTCTAACCCACCCCTCTTCAGCAACGAGCTGGCTTAGATCCCCTATTAAATACTCCTGTTGCCCCCTCTAGTCCTCTGTCATAAATATTAGCATACTTATTCCTTGTTCAGTGTATTATTCACTGGACCTTAAGCATCAGGAATGTAAGGACCGTCTTGAGCATTGCTGCCTCCTTTTCACTAAACACAGGCCTGGCCCAGAAGAGGCACCAGAGGAAGAGTTCTTGAACCAAATTAATGAATGTAAAATCCAAATTCTTACCTTTATAGACCAGGAAACTGATGTCCAAAGAGACAAGCTTTACCAAGGCCACCAGCATGCCAAAGAGCTAGACGAGGACGTGGTATCACCCCGACCCAGCCCAGTGCTCTCCTAGGAGAGGTAACTACTTCTGTGTGTCTCCGACAGTCCCTGAGTGGGAACACCTGGTCTGGAAGGCCAGGGAACATGAGAGGATGCTATCTGATGGCCAGGAAGTTTGGGGGGTGTCTCCTTCGTACTCTGGTCCCCTTTAGTCTCCTTTGTACTCTGCCATCGCTTCCTGAGGGTGTCCTCCCTGAAACTACCAGTCTCTTAGCAAACATCAGAAATGTTGAAAAGCTGACACTCTCCCATGCCACCAACCCCAGGCCCTACCCTTGTTGCCTGCGAGGCCTGGGTGTTTGTCAGTGGGCTGCATGAACCATGGACCGTCAAGGTCTTTGGAGAAGGCACAGAACTCAGTGCCCAGGAAACCAGCCACCAAAGGATGAATGGGACTCATCACAGCTGCACGCTAATAAGCCCAGCTGCCACTTTTCATCCGGACCCATTGTTGTTTGCCTTTAAATTTCCCCGACTCTCCCTCTTTGGACAGGCCATGTGAGGGTTGCCCTCCTGTCCTCTTGTCTGGCTTCCTCTCAAATAAGTCCTTTCCTTGCTGCTCACTGGACTGCTCACTGGATGTCTCGACAATGGTCTTTGCTGCAGGCAAACTGAGGCTCCGTGACACACTTGGCGAGCCAGCCGGGAGCTCTCTGCCTGTGGTTCGCCAGCCCCAATGGGAATAGGAGTCCAGTGACAAGTCCGAGCATCTGCCTAGGCTCTTTGTCCCAGGGATTGTCCCCAGGGCCCCATTCTGACTGGGCGCCGCCAACCTTCAGGGCTTAATTTAACATTTGTACAAGGAAGTGGGTTTTGGTTTTAGTTTGGACAGACATCTCTTAGGGCGTACTTCTTGTGCCAAGGCACATGAGCTGATTTCTTCTTCCCATTTGGTTTGGCTCTCTTAGATTTCTTCCATTCAGTAGCCTCCAAATAGAGGGGTTTGGTTCTCTTCGCTTCCTTTTCTTATGTGACTGACAAATTCTGCCTGGGAAGCCATTTGGCTTGGTCATTAAAGCCCCAACTTTTAGGGAGGAACTAGAAACTAGGAAACTGGTTCAGTCTGTGAAGCCCCAACTTTTGAAAAGGAACCAGTGCTCACGGAGGTCCTCTGGCCTTCATTTGGTTCGTTTGTTGTGGAAGCTTTTGGTGTCTTTGAATAAAACCAGCTCTGTTCTAATTGGAAAGTAGGAAATGACCACTGGATCTGTGCACGCAGCTCTCTGGGCTGTCTTCTCCAAAATTAGGTTTGTTTTGTTTTGTTTTGTTTTGCCACCCTGCTTGGCCACAATATTCATTAGACTTTAGAGAACAATGACTGCTTAACAGAGCCATAAATTGTAATATCATCTTGCACTTAGATTTGTTCTGTAAAAGGGAGAGATTTGGAAAGTGGGCCCTTAAATTTTGTTTGTGTCTTGTTTGTGTATTTGTATGTGTGTCCATTTATGTTGTAAATGTGAAATATTTGCTCTGTCTCTGGATGGCATTGCTTCAATTGATGTGTGAGAACGCTCTAGTTGGTTTAAGGGCAACCACTTGTAAGAATGGGGCATTCTAGAACTCAAAGGTACAAACTAACCCAAATGTTTTTCAACTCATAGGATCTTGAAAAATATTCAGTAACTAAAGCTAACTTCAGGTTGTTGGTCATCTCCTTCGAATTATCAGCATTAAATGTAAAACTTATTCTGCCTGTGTTTACCGAAAGTCAGGTAAGTTCATGTTATCTCTGTTGCAAACTTTTCAGAAAAGACAAAAACCCCTTAGAACTTTGTCTAATGTCTAATGAAGTTTTGTGTATAATCTGAGAACAAACAGATGTGAATAATTTTAATAAACATAATTAAGACTACTGGAAATAATAAGGGAAAGAACTCTGCATGCAAGGAGAGTGAGATTGGTTATTTAAAGAAGACAACCTAGGACAAAATCTGAATGTAAAATTGTTTCTGAAACCATCATCAGAAAGATGAAAGGTGGTTCCCAGAGAAACAGTAGATCCAACTCCCCACCAGCTATTGAGAAAACACATTTGTTTTTCTCAACAGTATGTCTATCCAAGGCTATCCACAGAAATGCTCAAACTCTTCAAGATTTTTACCTTGAGCTCCAGAAACAGAGCCAATGGTTAAGGAGCTCACCCATCACTATTACACACCTGGAATCTCTGATTTGTCTAACAGAGGCACAAACAAGGTTGGAACGGAGAGAGAAAGCAACCGAAGAAGATGCTGAGGGTTTCAATTCTATCAACTTGGGCAGACTACCAGAGAGGTAAACATTCAGTTTGCTGATGTAAACGTTGGGAAGAGGGGAACGAGAGGAGTGGAGAAAGGTTTTAACCAATGAAAATAACTCTTCCTTAATTAACTCTATTAAATGCATTGTAGGTGGAAGCATCTTCGAAGCATTTTAAATCTCCTACAATATTACACCAACGACCACTCAACACATCACTATGTCTTATTATCTGAAATTAACAGCCCTTACTGTGACAATTATAGGTTTCATCCTGGCATTAGAACTCAACCACACAGCATAAAACTTAAATTTATCTGGAAGCCTATTTAAATTCTCAGATCTCTTGGGATATTTTCCCACTCTTATATACCACCTACCATCATTTCTGAATCTGTCAGCAAGCCAAAAATCAGCATCACTACTACTAGACCTAATTTGACTAGAAAATGTGCCACAAAAAATCATCTCTTATTTTCAAATAAGAACCTCCACCCTAATTTCTAACCAAAAATGCCTAACTAAATGACTTCTACTCCTTTCCAAATATATTAACCCTAAACTTATTTCTATTTAATTTCCATGCGTCATCTCCATAATAACGAAGACACCAGCCAGTGACAATCACTAACCAGGTCCCATAACTATATAATGCAGTGATTCCCACAGCTTCTTCACTAAAAAATCCCAAATCCCCTATGTCATAAACCACTCAATCCCTTATATCACTGAATTTAAACACAGTCTCTACGTCATCTCCCTTTAAAACATAAAAAGTTACCATTAAGTCTGTTACCATCCCTGAAAGAAATATTCCTAAAATGGTCTTGTTAGATATTCAAATCCCAGGGTACTGTTCAGCAGCTATAGCCATTGTATAACCAAAACCACAAACATTCCCCCTAAATAAATTTCAGAAACTGTTAGATCTAAAAAGGAAGCTTTCAAACACAATATAATACCATAACCAATACCACCACTCAATCCTAATCCACCATAAATCGGAGAAAGATTTGGAGAAAAACTTACAAAACTGAATATAAAATAGTACTTAAAATAAGTACAATAAATATGATTATTCCCACATGAATTTAACCATCACTGATGACATGAAAAATCATTGTATTTCAACTACAAGAAAATGGGGGATGACTGGGTGTCTCGGTCAGCTGGGCATCTGCCTTCAGCTCAGGTCATGATTCCAGCGTCCTGGGGTCGAGCTCCACATCCAGCTTCCACTTGGCGAGGAACCTGCTTCTCCCTTTCCCTCTGCCTGCTGCTCCCCCTGCTATGCTCTCTCTCTGTCAAACAAATAAATTAAAATCTTAAAAAATTTTCAACTATAAGAATATTAACAACCAACATCAGTAAATCCCACCCATTGATCAAAATCATTAACAATTCAGTCATTGACCTTCCAGGCCCATCAGACATAGCGTGATGAACCTTTGGGTTCTCTTTTAGGAGTCTGTTCTGTTCTACAAATTTTAATAGTCTCTTCCTAGCCTTACATCATAGATCAGATACAATAACTGCCTTTTCATCAGTAACTCCTATCTACCCAGATGTAAACTATGGATGAATCATTTGATGTACATGCTAATGGAGCCTCCATATTTATCGGCCTTTTTTTTTTTTTAAAGATTTTTAAAGATACTCTGGGTCCTATACATTCTCAGAAACATGAGACATCAAGAGTTATCCTTATTATTCACAGTAAAAGCCATAGCAGTTATAGGCTACATTCTATCATGGGGACAAATATCTCTCTGAGGAGCAACTGTCATTACAAACCTTTTATCAGTTCTTCCCTAGTAGAATGGACAGAAACAGGATTCTCAGCGGAGAAAGTGATCTAGCCTGATTCTTTGCCTGCACGTTATCCTCCCATTCATTATTTCAGCAGTTACAGTACTCTATTTACAATTTCTCCATGAATCAGAATCTAATGGCTTATTAGGAATATCATCTGAGTCAGACAAATTCCACTCATACTATATAAGTGAAAATATTCTAGGACTCTTCTTCCTTATTCTAATACCACCTGCTCTAGTGCTATTTCCACCTGACTGCATTGGAGACCCAGACAGTAACAACCCAGCCAACCCCCTAAACACTCCACCACATATTAAACCTGAATAATACTTCTTATTTACCTATGCAATCCTTCACTCGAGCCCTAATAAATGAGAAAAATAGCTCTAACCTTCTCTTTCTTAATTCTAGCCATTATTCCTATGCTTCCTATATCAAAACAGCTAAATATCTCAATGCTTCTTCTGATTATCAGTAACAGACCTAGTAACACTAACATGAATCAGAGGACAACTAGCTGAACATCCATTTATCGTGATCGGTCAACTAGCATCAATCTTATATGCTTTTTCATTACCCTGATTCTCACGCCTATTACAAGTATCATTGAAAACAATCTCAGGAAATAAAGAGTCTTGTAAACCAGGAAGGGAGGACAATAATTCTCCCTGAGAGTAAAGGAAGAAGCAACAGCTCCAGCATCACCCAAAGCTGAAATTCTATTTAAACTATTGCCTGATAACTGTCCTTAAATAGATAAGCATGACTTTACTATGCCATGCCAGTATTAAAACCAATAATAAAAAAAAACACACTTAGGTAATTCATGCGTTAGTGCCCTACCACATTACAAATACATATGTCTACACTCATACATACTACATGCCATGTATGATCATATATTAATGATCTGCCCCATGCATATCACATGTACAACAAACCCTCACCCATGATGGGAGTGGCCACAAGAGCCTCCAGTTCACAGCCAAAGTTCACTGGGTGCCAAGTTCACTCATTTCGGGAGTCCAGCCAGCCTCTTCCTGAGGATGTGCTATAGTGACTCATGACCAGCCCTCGCAGGAGAATAACCCAGAATCTACTCGCCAAAATTTAACAATAGCAGCAATTTCATAATCTCCTAGGAGTGACAGACGTCACTGCCTCCAGGGGAAGGGGAGGAGTTCCACACAGCTGTATCCTCCACAAGGCCTCCCTTCCTCTCAGGTGGGTGGCAGGGTTGGCAGGATGGGGCAGAGGTGTGGGTGAAAGGTTGTGTCACTGTTTCATGACCAGAGAGCTTGAAAGGATGTTGTAGTTTGTGGTATCCTCCGAGACTTGGGCCCTTGTGTATAAAATAAGAGTAGGACTGAAGGATCCATAAATGTCCTTGAGGTTCACAAGCTCCACAGCTCTGAACATTCCAGAGTCCCAGTGCTAAACTTGAGGTTTTTCTGCTTCTGAAGCATGAGTTGAACCTAGAAATGAAAGCAATGGAATCTTAAGGAGGGCTGATTCTTCTAGCTTATTTCCCATCAGCTGTAGGGAAAGCTGTCTTTATGTCCTGGTCCCAGCCAGCATGATTTATTTTATTTGCTAATCATTTTTCATGATTAGAAACCCAAACCAGGAATTGGGACTTCTGGGAAAAGGGACACAGCCAAACCTTCATTTCCTGCAGGGGCCGTTACCTCCAGTCTCAGGCTTCTCAGAAGTCAGTTATTGAAGAATTGGAATGCAAGGATGGCTAGAGAAGCCACAGAGACTCAAGGGAGATGCTATACCAATGGCCTGTCCCCTCTTTGAAGACAGCTCCCGGAGCAACATTTCTGATGTCAACCACTGTCCACAGCCCCACCTGGATACTGATGGGTATCTTACACTCAGGAAGCTCAAATCTCACCATACAGACCAGCTCTTCCTCCTGTATCCCCCTCACTTTAATGTGTTCATTGCTGTCTCTCTTTTTTTGGTGAGGGTGGGGCGTTTCCTATCATCTGATCCTTTATCCTATTTTGAGGAAATTTCAATAAATGTGAGTTCAAAGAGAGCCAGACATTCCCACACTTGCTCCCTAGTGACTGGGGCATGGGCACACGACTTAGGCATGGCCATTCAGACCACGCAAAAAAGGATTTTGCTTCCTGAGAGTGACACAAGGCTAGAGATTATTCACAGCAGCAGTAGAAGAGAACAGGTGCAGCAAGTGTCCAAGGACAGGGATATTTTGGCCATGACCTGACCAGGCTGCTCTTGGGGTATGACCTGGGTCCTAGCTTTTCTTGGTTTCTGCCTGTCTTCTGAGTTTGGTTCTCCAACCTTTATACCGATTCAGTGAGCCCTAAAACATGTATATCCAAATACATTCCATTTCTTCTTAGAGAGTCAGAAATAGTTTCTGTTGTTTGCAACTAAGTCCTGGATGATACCTTCATCATTCCCTCAGTCACCAACTGGGAAAGCTGGAAATCCTTTCTAATTGTCCCTAGTCCACTGAGGTCTACTGATCCCACCCCACGATGTCACATCTGTGGCCCCACAGTCACCCAAAGCCAGGCCCACATTACCTTTGCCTATTTCTGTTGTCCTCTGCTTGATGGTTCCTCTGGCTTCCAGGATCTTCGTAACCACGAACACCTGCTTCTGATCAGAACCCAGGATCCTCAGTCTGCCTGTGGTCCTGAGGGAACAGGAGTTTCTCCCTTTCACAGCACTGTTCCTTGTTTTCTAAATTCACATCAATGGAAAGTATTAATTACCCTTAAATGGAAATAAATTAACTTAAGAAGATGTAGTTTTATCTTGCTTTCCTAGTAGCCACGTCCCTTGAGGAAGCATTAATTGATTTTAAATCCAAATCAGACTAATGCACTTGGACACTTTCCTGGGTAATGGAAATGAGTGATGACCCCTATAAAAGGAAGGCTTACTGCCAACTCCTGTTCTTGCACATTTTTATCACTGTGGATGAGGTAAGCCCAGCCATGGGTGGAGAAGGCCCAGTAGTACCAAGCTCTTTATTTATTTAGTAAATATTTATTGAGTACCTGCTTTATGCCAGGGTCTGTGCAAGGCAATGGGGACCCAATGATGAATGAGATAGTCTTGGTCCTGACCTAATTAAGCTTACAGCTGAAGGCATTAAAACGCCTTTCAAGGGTTTCCTACCGTTTCTATGCTCAGCTTCCCCCTACTCCTCTCACTAAAGCTGGCCTTCAGAGGAAGCCAGGCCTGTGAGGAACCTGGTGGAGGAACATCAGAGCCTCATCTGGAAGCACCGGGACACTTGAGAGTGTGAGCCACCTCAGAAGGGAGTCAGCTTGGCTGGACTCATG